AATGTGCTGGCAGAGGTAAGACACCGTTTCGAACACAGAAATGATTACGACTTATTGATTTTGATAAAGAGAAAACAGGATGAACCATACATACAAAACGATCCGTGACTGTTGTCTTCAAACTTGAAGTGCAAACTCCCTTTATGGGACTCAAATGGATAGGCGTGATATTGATCTGGACATCCGAGGTGGTTTAATGCAGACGAATGACGATGATAATGCACGGCCTATAATGAAAGATGCTATCGGATGAGGTAACTTGGTTAGCACAGTATAGACATATGAGACAAAGTGTTGGCATCCATCCATGGAATAGTTTTCAAAACAAGATACACCTTACAGATGTATACTTACACACCTGTATTGATCTTACTCTTCCGGCGGGAACCTCAACTTAGCTTCAGTTTCCAGTGTCATACTATCGTATCGATAGTCATGAGTACAGAACATTTATCGCGAACTTTATCATCCACCTCAATCTGCTCCGTACTCTTCTATATCACTTTGCATCAGGGTGACCTTTAGCGTCACGATAAAGTTTGCAGTTATTCGGAAGTTATGGCTCAGAATTAAAAGATGTTTGGTACAGATCAACCTGGAAGTTTGTTCGTTCTTTCTAATACATGATTAGCGGCTTTTAGGAGTGTTTATTCTGTTCAGTACAAATAATCTGAATGGCATATTTTTTTCACACGGCGCAAACGAACTAAACCGATAAACGGCACTTACTTTCTCGAATGCACTGATTGACGAGCAATACAATAGGCAGAGGAAGGTTAACATATCCGTTTCACCGATCACACAAAATAAATACCAGTTCAGCCTGAGTTGTTTTGGGATATAATACTGTCCGATTTATTGTTGGACTCGCTTACATCCAATTCCGAATGGTTCAAAACTTGTTACACTCGCCAAATCGGTTTTCAGTAAACACCGTTTCCGAAACACATTCGGTAAAACCCCGATTTGTTACAGCATCACATCTCAGGGGCGTGATTTGTCCTGGTAAAAATAGTTAAAACGCATTATGTACTGTTTTCTCACACTTACGTACCTTCTGAATTAGGTATGTTCCAAAGTAGTGTTCTTTCAGTTACCGTTCAATAGCTCAGATCAGAATTAAGTCAAAATATTTTCCTCTCTATAGGAGATATAGAAAAGTCAAGAATCTCGATACGGGGTTCGAGAGACTGAGGTGCCACATGTTATGGAGGAAACTGACGAATACGAACTGATTGCCCAGCTGGTGCATCCCGTGACATAACAACTGACCCCAGTACTCAGAAAGAGAGATGGCCACAAGGGTATTGATAAATTGACATTTAAATACTCATGGCCTTTTCAGACATATAGTCTACGGATTTCTCCAACTACTGCTTCGTATTCTTGCAACTAATACGCTAACAGGTATTGTTGAAATCGAAAAATTATACTTTTATAAGGCATCATACCTAGGGAAGGACCCAAGTGGGTACTATTATAGATGCATTGTGTCAGGTGTACAAATATATATAAATATATATATATCATCGGCTTNTGGGCAAGCATTCTGCCAAAGCCACAGCGATAATAACCATACTAGGGATTGTGTGGATTGGAAACCGAACTGAGTGATGGTAGTACTCATCTGTGCCGTCGTTCATTTTGCAAATAAACCTATCGTGATATGAAGATATATATGCATATCACTTGTCTGATGACAGACTGTGTACCAGGCAAATCATGCTACAACAATGTGTATAAAAAAGAGAATAAAACTACATAATTGGCTTTTGGTCTGAATACTGTCAGGTTGCCCAGGCCAAGGAAATTGACTTTTCTTGAGGAATTCACAACCGGAGCCTTCGGCTAGCCAAAGCATGACCCGCAAGGCAGCGGGGCGATGTGTGAAAACCACAGTCCATTGGGAGCCAGTGTCCCGTTCATCAGATCATTCGCCCCCAGGACGGGGTCAAATGTCCAAGGTGCTCAATGTACCTCAATGCCCAATCGAGCCGGGGACCACGGCCACAACCAAAAAGGTGTGGGTGTGGTTTATACGTAGTTTCTTGGTTGGTTTGGAATCAGGGTTTTTGGCTAACTCCTTCTATAAGTGAACTACCAGTGATAAGAACACATTTTCAAAACGAATCATTCCTTAATATTCGAACATTATCAAAAACGAAACGCCTCAAAACCAAAAAAACAAATAGTAAACTTCGGAACTTTGGTTTTGAACAGCCATAGATTTTTCAAGCAGGCATGCAAAAGTATACTGTAAACGTGTCTAAACATTTTCTATATGAATTAACCAACATTTTATGGGTCTGCATGACCTGGACATGTTG